CATTTGGCGTTGTCGGCAGGGTAGCCAGAGACTCGTTACATTTGGCGTTGTCGGCAGGATAGACTCGGGGACTCGTTACATATATATATATATATATATATATATATATATATATATATATATATATATATATATATATATATATATATATATATATGGCCATATCAGTTGAGAAGTTACTTTGACCATATGTGCAAACAGGTGAGTCTCGCCATCTCTGTTATTAAAATGTGAGTCTGGACATCTGCATGTGAATCTGGCCACCTCTTCTGATAGGTGTCTGACAATATCTGTTGTTGACAGTTCAACTCCGTTTACAGTTGAGTCTGGCCAACTCTGTAAAGAGTTTGGCCATTCGTGTTAGTTTTGTCTGGCCATCTATGTTGACAAGGGAGTACAGTTTTCTTTGCTGGCAACTTGGCCACTTTTAGGGGAATCTGGCCACCTTTGCTTACAGCCTGGCCAACTGCGTTAACAAAAAAAAGCTTGGCCACCTATAAACCTTTTTGAAAACGCTCTAACATTCTAACCACAACCTCTTTACAATAGTATATCAACTTTAAAAAAAACTGCTTAGCCAAACACGACAACCATTACACAGCAATGCCACAACAACTTGCGTTCACTAACAAGCTATCTCTAAACTTCTCAGACATAAAACACAATGACCTGATGACCTTGAGATATTAAGTGTAACATGCACATAGTCAGAGCTGTTGTATCTATCCAGTGAGTGTATCAGCCCCACCGATTGTTTTTGTTGTCTCTTCCCTCAGGTTCTGGTCGGTTTTCTGGAGCATGAGTTATCGATCTTTGAACAAGAAGAAAAAATCTTTAACCATGATTGCGGTGGTGTGGTGAGTTATCTACCCTTCCTTCGTTTGTAGCATTAAATATTTGTGTTTTGTTTTTCGTTTCATTGTTGTGATGTGGTTACTTATATAACATACTTTCATCCATTTTTATGTAATAGATTTAAATATGTGCGCAGAGTTATCCAACTTGCCTTCCTCCATTTTTCACTTTATATATAGAGTTACCTAACTTACTTTCTCTCTTCTGTTTTCACTCTATACTCTATAGTTTTAATCTTATATGGTGATTTACCTATCTTAGCTTCCTTTATCTTTCATCTTATGGCTTTAAATATTTGTACTCAGTTGTCTAACTTGCCTTTGTTCATTTTTTTTACTCTATATTTTTAAACTTCTACGGTGGGGTATCTTCCTTAGCTGTCTTTACTTTTCATCTTATACTAATAGCTTTAAATATTTGTGGTGAGTTATCTAACTTGCCTACCTTCACTTTTCACATCATAACATTAATTGTTGGTTTTTTATTTTGTTTTATGGCTATGATGCGGCGAGTTATCTAACTTGCCTCGCTTCACGTCCGACATGATAGTTTTAAATATTTATATTGGTCTTGTACTAAATGGGGCGGCGAGGTTGTGTGGTAGAACTCACGAATACTAAATATTAATGTCTTGAGCTCGGTTCACACGAGATCTAGTATGTAGGCCGTCAATGAGTCCACTCAGCTTTAAATGGTACCTGAGTTAAGTCGGAAAACCAAAGTTGGCTGACCTTGCTATCTCTTCGTGCTTTGAAGACCTACAGCCTTAACCCTAATCTTAGTCCTAATATTAAACCCTATATAATAATACAAGGGAACTACTAACCGATATTAAAGAATACTCCTAATATTCCATTAGAGAAGAATATTTTTAAAATTTGGAGAAACCTGCCCTTATCTTGTCAGTCACGTCACAAGGCGTGGGAGTGTGTGTAAGGGGGGGGGGGTTAGGTCCGCACCGGGTTCCATCATATTGGGGGGGGGGGGGCACCACTTAAAGCATAAAATTTACAGTCAAAACAATTTGTTGTTCTAGTGAAAATGATACAGTAAAAGGCGGCTGGGCATAGCGCTGACCATATTATTTTGCCGAGGTCAAGAAACATATGAACTCCACTTTATCTGCCCAATAAGGGGGGGGGGATGACACCAAACCGAAAATGCTAAATTATAAGAGATAAGAGGGATGGGTTGACACCATTCGTTACCGCACCGGGTGACACCCGACCTAGTGACGCCACTACATCTTGCTCATAAACGAAATATCTTACTACACAAGTTATACTTTTTGTTCTTCGTACTGATACATCACGTATCATAATTGTGTTAAGAACCATCTAGACCTAAGTGGCGATCCTTTAGACTCCACTCAATAATAAGCGCAATGGAAACTCGAAGAAGTGCTTTTGTTGGTATAAAGATCGTGGGGAACAGTTAACATCTTAGAGATGAAAGCTCAACCTTTTACGTCGGTGTATCAAGGGGAAATAATCTCAGCATAAACTCTTCATTTAATTGGAAGCTGATTAGGCAGATCGCTAGTACGTCTACCTTGGTGTCTGCTGGCGATACAAATATTCGGTGTCGTTAGGAACGGATCCTGAACTTATATGTACGTGTGTCTTGTTAGACGCTGAAATAACTATTATATCACAAACATCGCCTGCATATGAAATATGGAGTCGTGAAACGTACTTTAGTTTTCTATAACATCAAAACACCGTTTCTAAACATGGGGGATGGCGTGACCTACAATTAAAAAAATTATTGATTACGTTGATTATTTGTCTGGGAGGGTAACGTGTCGAAGAAGCCTTTCAGCCGATCTTTTATTCCAGTCATAAAACGTATTTGTATAATTGACGAATTGGGAAACTGGGATGCTATATTTCAATTCAAAATAAAGTAGAGACTTTGTTTTTGTCCATTTCTCTTCTGGGTAGAAGCGTTGGTTTGTCACAAGATAATGAATTCATAGGGTTAATTAAAATGCTCATAGGTAAAATGTGCGTGTGTATATATATATATATATATATATATATATATATATATATATATATATATATATATATATATATATATATATATATATACATATGTATATATATATGGGGTTCTCTTGGTACATCTGTCGCACCTCTCCACCCCACCCCACCCCATTAGTGCTGGCAGCTTCTACTGCTATAGCCTGTCATATCTAATGATTATTGGTCTTCTTTCTTTAATTGATACTTTCTTTAAGACCATCTAGCTAGTAATTATTGGTAACAAGATGACACGGCGATACATCACCGATTACATCGATTTCAAGGGTTAAAATAGTTTAAATTTCCTTACGCACGACAGAAATTAGTTGCTGTTTTAAAACTAAAAACACTAGACCTAAAATTAATAACTTAATTAATAATCTAATACATTTATAATTCTTCTTCTTCGACTTTTTAAAGTTCCCAGTTTAGCATAGTCTATTTACATCACCCATACTTTTCTGTCCTCTGTTATTTTTAGTTTGGGTCTTGTCCAGATAAGGTTAGGTGTAAAAAGTGCTCTGGCTAAAAGTTAACCCCCGCCACTTGGTACATATTTCTTATGTCTAGACATTTGAATATTTAAACACACGCAGTAATAAAAACAATTCCTTATCGGCCATTAGGGTTAGGGTTGGGGTTGGGTTTGAGGTGAGGGTTGGTGTTAGTGTTATGGTTATGGTTAAAGTAAAGGTACCAAAATACAGACCTTTTCATACAAATTATTTATGGGTTAAATTGTCTAGAAATACGTGTTGCCTGTTTCCTCAACCTATGCCCTATCAGCTACACCTTCTTTGACGAACTTTTTGCACCCTGTCCTTTCCTTGTCCTGTCCTTTGACAAACTGCTGTGTTGGGTACCTTGTCAAACCGTTTTGAATTCAATATTGGCAGTAAACAGTTATTTATAATAACTACCTAAATGTAAATACCTGTAGAACATTCTAAACCTTCGGGGTTCGACATGGTAAAGCTCATGGTTGCTAATCCGAAAAGTCTCGAGTTCGAACCCTCGGGCAGATGAGGTTTGTTATCTGGGGACAGCCACTCTTCTAGAAGAGACAACCCCAAAATCAAACAACTGCTGCCTTGTAGTTTGTTCTTGGTTGGACAAAGGCTATGGAAGCATATCCAAAAAGAAAAGCAGGCTGAAATCGGAGTCAATGGCCCCCAACCGTGATGGAGGCGTGGTCGAGTCGGCAAAAAGCACTTGGTTGATAAATTCGAAAAAGTCTCGAGTTCAAACCCTCTGGCAGATAAAGGCTCGATCCCTTCCAACACTAAAAGTTAAGAACGAAGAAGAAGAAGATTCTAAACCTTAATCTGCGTTGTTTATATTGCATTGCATACTTTGAAAAATACTTTTAGAAATACTACTGATTTTGTTCATTTTTATGTCGTTGATTTTTTTTTTTTTTTTTTTTTTTTTTTTTTTTGTAAATCTGTAATAAGCTCAGACTATCTCATCAACTCAAGTGAAGAAATTAATAATTTTAATCACGTAAGTTAATGAAGCGATTGAGCCCGGGCTAGACTTTTGATCAATAACCTACTGCGTGAGATGTTGACAGATCGTGGGAGATAAACAGCATATTGGCTTGGAAGAAGGTCAAGGTCATTCTTTAAAAAAAACCTGTGATCACCTAAAGATCCAGTGATTTGCCAGGAAGAAATGTCAAACGTGGATATAACTCTCGTAACCCTAACTCCAGATAGCCGCAGAGGCGTAACTAGCCGAGGGCGACCGACACGGGCACCGACCATAGGGCGCCAAACGGGGGTAAAAAAATTAAATAGCTTACTCTGAGCTGCATTACTGAATTATACTCAGTCGAAGTTAAGAAAATATACTACTACTTGGCTTTACGGGCTTATTTAACTGTCTTCTACTTCAATTGTGTGACAAAAAAATAAATAAAGGTTAAGAGACAGTGACTGATAAAAAGCACCACGGACCGTTGCGAATGGAGGTGAGGGCGCTTTTTCTCTATTTCTAATAACTATATAAACTGGTTTTGCGCGATATTGCTAGTTCGCCTGGAAGGGGACGTTACGCCCCTGAGTAGGCGAATACGCCAAACAAAAAAAAACCTAACTCAACCCCCTCTCACGACAGGATCTTGATGCTGTGCCTGTGGGTGCCGGGCCTGACCCTGGACAGGATCCACCACATCCAGCCCCCGGGTACCTGCATGTGGGACCCCGCGGAAAACCGTGAGTTTGTGGTGGTCATCGCCATTGTCGGCCACCACGGGCCCTGCTTCACCATGCTCTTCTTCTACGTCGGCGTCTTCTTTTGTTTGAAGACCAGGGTCAAGGTGAAACCGATAACACAGGTATATTCGATTTCTATTTATTTTTATTTATTTTTTAAATTTAGTTGTTTTTTTTTTTAATTTAAAATATTTTTAATTTTAATTAAAAATATATTTTTTTTTGTTTTATTAATCTCCCGTATCTAATTTTAATTCTAAATTAACAGCATCATTAATGAAATGTTTTTTTATTTTTTCCGCCTTGTTAAATCCGATTATTATCCTACGTTGAAGCGTAACTATGTGGCTTCGGATTTGCTTTCCCTTGGATAACGAACCATAACGATCAGTTTAAAAACAGAAATGGGCCGTTTTACGCATGATCGGCTAGGCTTATTTTTATTTATTTTTTTACATCGGAAAAGAATTGACAACATGACAATGTAATGCCTCTGTGCCAATTTTGTTTATAATCAAATTGACTGACTATCGGTTATGGTTTAAGCGAAGCAGAAATGTAGATCTCTATGGTTTCATTGCTATTGTAGTATAATTATAGCGAGGGGGGTAATTTTAGCTTTATTGTATTAACATTAATAGCTAACAAAATTATGTGTTATAAAAATGTTTTTATTATAGTTTTATCTTTGTGTATATGTTGCAACATTGTAGCGTCTAGCATTTAGCGCAGGATTGTTCTTACCATAAACTACAGAAAGTAAGCATGAAACGAATTTAGACATGCTTTTTTTCTTCATTTGTAATTTGTTAAGATTAAATATCAGATTTTTTGTGACATGTCGGAAAGATTTATGTTTTTGGTGACATTAGTGGCGTCACAAGGTGGGTGCCGGGGGGGTGTGCCGCACCGGGCGGCACCACACAAAAGGGTGACACCAAAGTGACAAATACCATATTTAAATGAGAAAGCATGCTCTTTATTTAGTGTAATATATTTTAAAAACGTTATCCACCAGAAGACACGGGATGTTACAATCCGGGATGGGGGTGACACCCTCCAGGGATTGGGGTGACACCGAATTCCCTATTGTTTTAGTAGAGCAGATAATATAGTCGTTTATGGACGGGGGTGACACTCTGAGGTACTAAGCCAGGTTCCACCCGACCTAGTGACGCCACTATATAGCATGTCAGAAGATCACTTTAACATGCCAGAAGATCACTGTGACAGTGACAAATCAGAAGATCAGTTTGACAGTTACATGTCATTTTGTAAAATACTTAAATCCTTGTATAAGACTTTGATAACAACGCGCACACAAACCACAAGCTTTTCCCCTTACAGGGAAGGTTGGTGACAACACCAACTCTGTATGCTGATATAAGTGCTCACCTCCACATATTTGCTTCCTGTTTATGTTCTCACCTACTCATATGTGCTTCCTGTTCCAGAACTCCAAGGTGTGGCCAGCACCACAGAACAACAACGAACAACTCAAATTCGCAGACGCTATGGAATCTTCTGCAGAATTCCCTGCAACATCTGGTAAGCTATCCCATCTTCTCTCTCACTCTCTCTCTCTCTCGCTTTCTAACTCTTGGTCTCTCTCCCTATAGACAGACTTTATCATACAAGAAAAATGTAATCAAAGTAGTATATTTAACAAAGCGTTCAGCGTAATTTATCGAATTGATAACAATTTTCAGGGATATTTAAAATGGTATTTTAGAAAATAATAGTTATATTTATATAGCGCGTTTTGTTACTTAAAATTTTGTGAATACGTCAGCTTGACTTGGGGTCTATACGGAAAGGTATGAGTAAAGTAGGTAGGCAGGTAGGCCAGGCAGGTAGATAGGCAGCAGTGTTCCCTCTAACCTGCGCGATTGCGCGGCCGCGCAGTAGTTTTGAACCTGCCACAGTCCTTTTGTAAAATACGTATATACTTATATAAGACTCTTAGAACACCGCGCACACAAAATGCAAGTTGCACACTAGCCTTTTTCCCCTTAGAGGGAATGTTAGCAAGCAGGTAGGTAGGTTTAGGCGTGCCAGACGGCAGGCACATAGAAAGGTAAGTAGGCTGGTAGGTATGCAGGTTGTCAGGTGTACAGGTAAGTGGGTAAGGTATGTAGATATGAAGGCAGGGAGAAACACAGGCTGATAGTAGGCAGCTACGCAGGCAGAGAGTTGTGCAGGCTGACTGGGAGGCAAGCAATTTGGCAGGAAAATGGCAGGTATGTAGGTAAAGTAGGCAGGCAGGTGGGAAGTTGTCAGTTATGCAGGTAGGTAGGTAGATAAGTAGGCAGTAGAGTTTCTTCCAGGCATCTCGTCCGGTTGGGCTAAGCCCCCCTCCCCCAAAGAAAGTCTACTACACCCCCCCCCCCCCCCGGGGAAAAAAGTCTGGAAGAAACACTGGTAGGCAGACAGAAAGGCTGGCAGTCTCACTGGAGACATTTATATTGCATTGAAAGAATAGTATTGTCTCTAACATTAATTGAAAGAATAGTATTGTCTCTAACATTAATTGAAAGAATAGTATTGTCTCTAACATTAATTGAAAGAATAGTATTGTCTCTAACATTAATTGAAAGAATAGTATTGTCTCTAACATTAATTGAAAGAATAGTATTGTCTCTAACATTAATTGAAAGAATAGTATGGTCCTTAGTATTAATTGAAAGAATAATATTGTCCCTAACATTAATATAGATAATATCGGTAGTTAGTCATAAACAGAAGACAGGTGATAGTTTAGTTTTATTTATTTTTTCCATTTCAAAATTGTTTATTCAGCAACAGCACACTCCTCTGATGTTCTTTTGATGCCCATGGTTTCTGCCATGGTTAGGTTAATACTTTGTTTTTTTTTCTTCTATTGTGTATCTTTTACCTGAAGAAAATAAAATTACAAGGCTTTAATGAATTTTAAACAATAATCAGTTACTTTTGAGGTAAGCTAGAAAGAAAAAAAAGAAATTACCTTTACTTTAGAATTACTTTTAGCTTGTTGTATATTTTTTTATCATTTCATCAACAAAGACTTTTTTAGGTGTATAATATATGTTATTAAAACCAAACAGTTTTTTTGAAACTCATACAAATAATCTACTAAAATAACACTTTCTTCATAAACATTTAAGAGGTTCTGTCTAAGACCTTGGAATAAGAGCTGTGTTCAGTTATCTTTACTTTCCCCAATTAGGGTCTCCAGAAATTTAAGTAAACTCATGGATGTCCTGCTGACTCATGTCCTGAAATTATAATCTCCTCTATCCCTCAACTACTCTATTAAACTCAGGGCTCATTAATTACATACTTTATTGTATTAAAAAATAATCATTTATATTTACAAAGCAGGCATATTTAAAAAGAATGCCATAGTACATTCTTGTGAGAATACTATTACTATTTGCATAAACTTGACTGCAACTACCATCTGTGTTCATGAACAATATGAAAGATTACATTTTCATCCTTCATGTTTCCACCAAGACCATAATGTTAAAAAAAAATAATAGTTAAAATCCATTGTTCCCCATTATAGGCCTATTCAAGTATAAAATTTTTAGTAAATTGCAAACAATTACTTATTACCACAAAATCTATTCGCTGTCTCATTTTTAAAGAGTGTCATGTTAAAAAAGATAACTAGAAATTACCTTGCTTGCTGTTAGTTGCAACAATATTAGGAATCACAGCTTTAATTTTGGATTCTCTGGAATCTTTCATGTCCATCCCAGCAGCAGATTCCTGCCCAGGAATCAATGCTTCAACAGATTGATCTGCAAAAAACAAAAGAGAAAAGAAATTCTGGAACTGTTCAAAATTTCAAAATTCACCATCTAATATTGATATAAATTTCAAAAGTAAAAGAAAATATCCACAAATTATTTGCTTACGGTAGTAATTGCAATTTAAATTTTACAAGACAGTTTATCAAATTTATAAATACTTACTACTGTAAGTGGATTCCAGGACAGTTTCTTTCTCTTCCGAATCAATACATCTTGTAGTAATAGTAGATCTAGTAAGGTTCCAATCCCAATCATATGAGTCTCCAACAAATGTATCAGATTTGACATATCTGTTTGATCCTTTTTTTATACTTCTTTTTAGTGGGTAGACTCTTTTTAGACGACCCCCTGCAACACTGCAGCGTACTATAACGGGTATTTCCTGTAACATATTAAATTATAGAGGATGTGTTCATAAATATAATGCAATTAGGCTTACCTTTAGTAACTAAGCAATTAAACTTCAATAGGCCCAGTATTTTAATTTAAAGAAAATAGTCCTATGAATCAATATGACATGAATTGCTATTTTAAATTAATCAGCAAGTTAAAATTTAGAATTAGGCTATTAACACTAATAAATAGTAATAAGTTTAACTAAAGCCAAGTACAATGAAGAGATGTGGTGAGTATCACTGTCCACAAGCTTCACAAACCATAAGGAATGATGATTAACGCATTTAAAGTAGGCCTAGTAAATAATAAAATATAAGATTTCATATCTATGTAGTTTAGGCCTATATACTATGGCGTACTTAAGACCTAATATTTTTAAAAATGTTGTTTAGTTTGTCTACGTTTTCAACTAGATATAGGTTTAGATTTAAATCTAGACTCTAGTAACTTAAACTAAATTATACTTTCTTACCTCCGCTTCTACAAATTTTTCAAACTTTCTTTTAGGAGGCATTATGACAAAATATATATTTAGACCTAGCCTAATATTTGGGTAATACTTTATTATTTTATATGAATGCAATAATTACTAAACAAGAGCACTGGATCTATGCATTAAACCTAAAACATTCAATTTCAATTCCTATGCCACGCTCAGAGTGCGATGTGTCGTGAACTGCAGGCTAAATACTAAATTTGTTTTTTTTTTAAAATGGCGGAAATAAGTTTAAAATTTTGTTTCTTTTCCTTCATTATCCAGATTTTAGATTTTTTAAATGCCCCGAGTCGGAGTAAAGGTTTATAAATAGCCGTGGGATCATTGAATTATTCAAACTATAATCGAACTCACTGCTGCTAAATCTGTGTGTTATTCAGTGATCTGATCTATGACAGATACAGAGATATCTATTTGCATGTGGTGCTATCACTCTTTCTCTGTATCTATCTTAGTCACTATCTCGAGTGTTTCTTTCAACTCGGCCCAACCAGTGTTTCTTCCAGACTTTTTTCTCCGGTGGGGGGGGGGGGGGGGGGCACTTGATATTATCGGGGGGGGGGGGCGGTCAACATTTTTCGGGGCGGCGGACACTGGTAAAAGTGTATGTTTACTATATGAAATCCATTACGTTCGGGGGGGGGGCAGTAGACTTTCTTCGGAGGGACTCCGCCCCCCCCCCCCACCCCCACCCCCGAAGAGATGCCTGGAAGAAACTCTGGGCCCAACCCCTCCTTCAGCCTTCAGCTTGGTTTTATCTCTATTTTGCTCTCTGTATATAAATCTGTCCCCTTCCTCTACCACAGTTTTTTTCTCTATTTCTCTCTGTCTCTCTCTCTCTCACGTTCTCTCTCACTCTGTTTCTCTCTGACTCACGCTGTCTGTCTCTTTTTGCTACTCTTATACCAGCTCGAGCAAAAGAGGCGAGGCGAGGGGTGGGGGGGGGGGGTGCGGACCGCACCGGGTGACACAATTTTTTTGGGGTGACACCAAGACAAAAAGAACTGCAAGATTTATAGAATAAATATTTTTTTTTGCCAGTTCAATGAATGGTTAATTAGAGCTAAAAAGTATTTTAAGTACACAATTATGATCCCGACAGGGGAGGGGGTGGTGACACCATGACGTAAACAAGCAAACTATAGAGAAAACAAATGCTATACCAAAATGTATTAACAACTGACTATAGATAAACATCATTAGTGTTAAAGCTTTTACCGGGGGTGGGGGGTGACACCAACTGCAAGTTAAGAGGGGGGGGGTAACACCATGAGGTGCTGCACCGGGTGACATCCGACCTAGCGACGCCACATGTACTTGCACCACAGACCAGGATCCAGCCCCTCTGTTTCTGTCTGCTATAACTATAAGCATCACACACGTCGTCATTCAAGCTACAGCTACTAATTCCCTGCTATTCACAACCTCCCCCACCCCCGGCCCCTTACCCCGGCCTCTGTTACTCCCCTCAGTATTTTTTTTTAGAGCACTTAAAAACTCCAATAAACTAATTTAACAGGCTTGTCGGTATGGGTGCACTGAATTAACTTTCCAATAAATAAATTACTATTTGTTAGGTGTGGTACGATTTAGCTTTTTTTTTTTTAATTGACACAAAAAATAGCAATTTGTTAGTGCCAATATGTAACATTTTTTCTTAATAAATGTGATGGGATAAACTTTTTTCTATAAATAGATGTCATTATAAGACGCAACATGACCAGTTAATTCCCCTATTTTCACTCTCTGACTTCGGAAGTTAACAACAACTAAATGGTTCTGCCATATTTATTTTTTAACCAATAATCGAACGAAATAACGAAATTGGTCTTTTCTAAACGAAATCACCTAGGGTCGCACTAAATTGTTTTTAGTGGCTGTAAATTGGAGCTAATAAAACAAAAAATTAAACCTTGGTGTTCAAAGGTCAATCGGTGCAGTGTGAAATGTCAGCATTTTTTTAAAATATAAATAAAATTGGTTAAAACTTTTTAAAATTATTGGCAACACTCAGTACAGTTGGACGTTCGTTGTATTATAAAAAGTCAACAAATTATTGGCGAAACGTTTATGCGACGGTGTTAGTTAACTTAAAGTAACGTAACCTAGGGCATAACGAGTTTGAAATAAATTAACTTATTTTTTTTTTATCTTAATTAAAAATCCATGCAGTGCCCTTCGAGTAACTTTAAAATTATTTTTGTATCTTTTCTTTTTTACTTAACGGGTTGTGTGACTTGGTACAAAATGGAAAAAAAAATTAAAATGTATTCCTAACTTTAGCAAATTTATATAACTAATTAAAGAAACGATCTAGAAATTTAAAATAATTACAATCATTAAGCGTAATCGGTAAATTATGTATTTAATTAACGTTTCTACGTATCCGGTTTCTTAATTAATTTGTTTTTGATAGCTCATCAGATGCCTCAATCATGAGGGTGCAACCAACTTTAATGACATCATTACTGGTAGTGTACTTAATTAATGAGCCATTACTAATTAAACGTTCGAAATTTAAGTAACCTTACCCGTCATTAATTCACATATTTCTAGCGTTCCGTGATTATTTAATTAAGAATTTGATTTATATCCCTGTCATGAAACTAAACATTATGATTATCGTTGTTCGAAAATTCCTAACTATAAATACGCCCACGTATCGTAAGGCCAATTAGGCTTATAATAAAATTAACTTTTAGGCTTAATTTAAGCTTGACAGTTATTCAATTGGTCCTTCGTGGGTTAATTAATTGTAACCTAATTAATACATTTCTAATTAGTTAGTGCTTGTCGATTAGCAGGGATTGCATATTCTAATTAGCAAGTATTACCAATTAGAATAGTCCATAAATAACGTACCATGCCTTGGAGATGGGTGTATTATATTTATTAGAATGTGCTACGTGAAAGGAGGGGGAGGGGTGTAGATCATTGGTGGTAGTATGGAGAATGTGAGTAATGTGTACCCAGTGGCGTAGCGAGGTCGGGTGTCACCCGGTGCGGCACTTAATGGTGTCACCCCCCAGAGGCGTAGCGACCCTTCCCGGGGACAAACTTTCAATTTTCGATTTGCACCCCCCCCCCCCCCTCAAACTTTTGATTTGCAACCCCCCCCCCCCCCTCAAACTTTTCGGTTTGCACCTCTTAAAATACGATTTAAAACTCGAATTAATCACCTAAATAAGTGGAATTATCACTTTTCTCTATATATTTTGCTATTTTTTGCCTTGATGTCACCCCCCCCCCCTAAATGGTGTCACTCGGTGCGGTCCACCCCCCCCCCCCCCCCCCTCACTACGCCTCTGTGTGTACCCCCTAACACAATAATTAATTTTTTAAAATACTTTTGAAAAAACAAAAAAGAATTTTACTTTTACTTTGAAGAAATCTACGTTGTCAACCACAACAAAAAAACAAAATCCTGACTTCGATGATTGGTTTTTATAAAAGAAGAGCACATTAATCAGGTAACAGAAATTAAAAAAGTAATTTCTGCCTACTCGAACAGGGGTCCAAAATCGTACTACCAATGAAGCTAAATGGGACGGGGTGGCCTAGCGGCAGAGAGCTAGAATGCTAACCCGAAAGTCTCGAGTTCGAAATCGGATTCCATGAGTCCATCCAGCTCTGATGGGTACCTAACTCACCTTAAGGGAAGATAAGGCGGCAGGGCTTAGTGCTGACCACACTGCCCCTTCATACGCTGAAGCCTCTGAAACAGATTAACTCTACTTCATCTGCCCCATTTTGTCTTGGGCACGAACGGGAAAAGATGATGATGAATGATGTAAATCATGGAATAACATCATTGAATAAGTATATGGTAATATGGGGGTATGAAGGTAATTTGTTAGCTCTAATATGTTGATGTGTATACAGTTATTGGTCTTTGTATCATCTTTCAAGTTGCAATATATTTTAGCTCTACGGGCTTAGTTGTTGAGTTAAATATTGCCTCCACTCGTTCAAATGTTGACAAATTAGTTTTATCTATATTACATTTCTCTGGCTTCAAGTGAACGTATTTCAACATTGTCACAAAATCCACGATGTATTTCTAGTTAGAACCTGAGGCCCTGGCAATTGATAAAGATTCAGCCTACCGCTAATTCAATGCATGTTGCCTTTTTATACAACACCAAAAGAGATTGCTCATCTTTCCTTGCAATTATTTTAACATATGACAAGTTGTTTGATGCCTCGAACTGAAACCCAACTCCAGACTTTATCCGGTCCTTTCTTGTGATAGCAAACGATAGAAACGTCTTGTTGATAAGCTGCAGGATGTGCTTGACAGATCTCATTGTTTGTAAAAGATATAGCTGAACTCTCCCACGCTTTAGTTCTTCCGACTTTGATTAGGTTCAGCCAATGACGTCTAAATAAGGGAAGTTTTAAAAATCCATACAAACATTTAGATATTTTTCTCCGGGTAGGGGACTTGAAAATTTCAGGCGAAGGATAGTGACTTGCCCCGCCCACCCGCGCCCTCCCCTTGGAGTAGTGGCGTAGCCAGGAATTGGTCATGGGAGGGGTTCAAATATTTTTCCATATGTATAAAATCATATATATATATATATATATATATATATATATATATATATATATATATATATATATATATATATATATATATAGGTGTGTGAGTCCATGGGAGGGGTTATAACCAACTAACCCACCCCCCCCCTTGCCTACGCCACAGCCTTGGAGGTACGCGAAAGAATATCTGAACACAAACAGTAGCGTAGCGAGGGGGGTGGGGGGGGACATATGTCCCCGGGCGCGGACCTTAGGGGGCGCCAAAATGGGTTGGAAAAATAAATTGAAAGGTTGAGGGGGGTGCAAATCGAAAGCTTGAGGGGGGGGGGTGCAAATCAAAATCTTGAGGGGGGGGGTGTGCAAATCGAAAGTTTGAAGTGGGATGCAAATCGAAATCTTGAGGGGGGGGGGGGGGGTGCAAATCGAAAAGCCAGGAAGGGTCGCTACGCCTCTGAACACAAACCCTACAGCTGTAGGAGTTAATTGTTTTTATTTTAAGAAACCTGTCCGTCTTATGAAAGCAATAATACAAAAACCTATTGAATATATATGGAAAACAAAATATGTATGTATATTTAGGAAACCCATTATTCGTGAAGAAATAAATTATAGCGAGGAATGGGAAGGAGTGTACTTATTAAAACACATAACACGTTTGTATAACTATTGATAATGTAATTACTAAACATGTCAAGAAATTATAACGCAGGTACTATTTACCTGACACGAATGTTACGTTTTAGTCGACTTCAAATACAATATAGCAAATTTTTGCTTTAAAAAACGTGTTTATGATTTGGTCAACACCATAGCAAGTATAAACTTTATATTTGGTCAGCACCAGAGCAAGTATAAACTTTATATTTGGTCAGCACCATAGCAAGTATAAACTTTATATACACCAAACATTACACCAAAGATTACACGAAACATTACACCGAACATTACACCAAACATTACACCAAACATTACACCAAACATTACACCAAACATTAAACCAAAAATTACACCGAAAACTACTTCGAACCTTACATGAAAGCTGAACTATTGATTTCTTCACCGATCGATTTCGCTAATTTTTCGATAGCATTTTCAAAATATTGTATCTGATAGCATGGTTTTATCGTATTTTTTTTCTTTTTAATTTTCCATTGTCTATGTTAAGTTCAAAGCCGGTGATTTGAATTGCACGCTGGTAGGCATGACCCAAGGTTTCTCTCTATTTTTTGTAATTTTATTTCTACAAAAATCAAACGTTGTCCAGAATTTTCGTTACCATGATTGAGGAAGGGGGAGAGGCAAAATCTTTGTCACGTAGTTTGGGGGGGGGGGGGATCTGGCTTCGTGTAATAAGTGACCGTTGGAATGGAAAGGGGGGGGGGGGGTAAATATAATTTCTTTACGAACCTAAACCACACATACACCCGTATCCTATAACTACTAACCAAAGACCCACCCATAGCCCATGAACCCTAACCACACATTAAAAAATAGCCAATGAACCCTAACCACATATCCAACAACAGCCCATGAACCCTAACCACGTATCCAACAACAGCCAATGAACCCTAAGTACATATCCAACAACAGCCAATGAACCCTAACCACATATCAAACAACAGCCCATGAACCCTAACCACATATCAAACAACAGCCCATGAACCCTGCCACACAACCTTTTACAAACCATGACCTATCCAGGCACCCTCCTCTATCTCATGACTAATCCAGGCACCCTCCTCTATCTCATGACTAATCCAGGCACCCTCCTCTATCTCATGACTAATCCAGGCACCCTCCTCTATCTCATGACTAATCCAGGCACCCTTCTCTATCTCATGACTAATCCAGGCACCCTCCTCTATCTCATGACTAATCCAGGCACCCTCCTCTATCTCATGACTAATCCAGACACCCTCCTCTATCTCATGACTAATCCAGGCACCCTCCTCTATCTCATGACTAATCCAGACACCCTCCTCTATCTCATGACTAATCCAGGCACCCTCCTCTATCTCATGACTAATCCAGGCACCCTCCTCTATCTCATGACTAATCCAGGCACCCTCCTCTATATTATGACTAATCCAGGCACCCTGCTCTATGACTAATCCAGGCACCCTCCTCTATCTCAAGACTAATCCAGGCACCCTCCTCTATCTCATGACTAATCCAGGCACCCTCCTCTATCTCATGACTAATCCAGGCACCCTCCTATATCTCATTGACTAATCCAAACGCTCACCCAATCCTAATCCTAGCCCTGAGCAAGCTACGTTACCATTATATTGAATATACGATCAAGTGGGTGTGGCTAATCAATAACAACCAATCAATAAGTTGTCAAAGCGCTTAAGATCATGGTGAATGCACTGTATGGGACCAATGTACTATACGTCGCTGCGATGAAGATTTTCCCTCTTAGAATAACTAGATAGACTAATATTGCACAAAGATATGTCATTATCAAAACTTCATAAAAATAAATTCATAATTAATTAGCTATTAATTTATAAAATAGCATACCCGTACTTTACATTAAAGTTTGATTAAAGAGAGTGCTGGCTTTTAACAAGAGCAGATCATCAAAATTTAACCCGAGACGAAAAGTGAGTAGCTTTCCCTAGGCTATAGTATAAAGCAGGGGTCTCCAAACTTTTCAGTCCGAGGGCCGCATTAACTATAAAATTTCAGTTCTAGGGCCAGTTTCTTCCTGGCATGTCTTTAATTTTTCTGGTCAAAGTCCCTCAGCCATTACCAACAAACGCTTTTTTCCGTGGACAAAAATATCTACGAGGGCCGGATGAGAGGACCTCGCGGGCCGCATCTGGCCCGCGGGCCGTAGTATAAAGCCCTGGTATAAAGCAATAAATATCAAGTTTAAAGTCCTATAACCCGGGTTTTAACTCAACTCCATACTGAACAACAAAACTGAATAATGAGGAATGAACTCCCATAATAATTCATCAACAAAATAACTGGAGGGGGTGCACCCAATGACCCAACCAGGTTTACTGCGTCCATTGGTCAAAATATTTGCTACAGCCAGAGGCTTGTATCGATATTTCATGCTTGTCTCTTATGTTTATTATATATACAGAAATTATATATATATATATATATATATATATATATATATATATATATATATATATATATATATATATATATATATATATTCTGTATGTGTGCGACTACTACAGTGTTAGGAAGCCTTGAAAAAAGAAATCGCTACTTCTAAGTATAGACTCTTCATTCATTTTTTGTTTGACAGACATGTACTTTACTTTTCGTGATGTTTATTGTAGAATCTAAAGTTGTCTTTATTTAAAATTAGTACTGCGACCTAAAGTTCAACATGTGGAAGTCCCAATGGTTTAGTCTAAAATGAGAACTGAATATTAACCAAAAAGTTTTTTTCAATAGTCTAGAAAATACAGCCTCAATTTGCTATATGTTTTAAAATGCTTTTTAAAACTAAAGGTATATATCTATATCAGTTTATACCAGTTTAGTAAATGTGCTTTCTGGCTGTAAAAATAAATGTAAAACTTTTAATTCTATCAAAAGTCACTATATTCATTAAGAGTTTTGTGATTTTTGTACTGTTTTCGTTTTCGACGAGTTTGGCATTTAAATAATAAGTTGTTTCCCTTGATTTCGATAATCAAAAGATGGGAGGAAATTATATAAACTTATTTCTTTACAATTCTATTTCAAATGCATTGCTTGCTATAAAAAAAATTATATTTTAATTTATTGAACACGCCCACGCATGGAAACAACTGGTTCTTTTTCTTCTTCTTTTTTTTTTAATTGTATTGCTAGACACCTCCCCCACCCCCTAACGAAATAGAAAAATAAAATAATGTGTATAGAAATACACACTTGAAACAGTTCCCCACCCACCTCCGGAAATTAATGCCCGCCCCCCCCCCTCTTCCAAAAATTTCAAGTGCCCCCTCCCTTATCGGAGAAAAAGGCCTGAAAGAAACACCGACGTGTAAATACATTGTTTAATTTGTTTTGGTTTCTCATTACAGAGGTTTCGGCTAACACAACGAAAATGGAGTCAGATAATGAACAGTTTGAGGACGCTTCATCAAACGCAGCAACATCGGCAGCACCATCGATCACAGCAGCATCAAGGTTCGTCATGCCAACAGCAACACCGCAGCAAAACGTCCAGCAGGCTCCTAGCCTTATACTATCTGTATCTACTGTAGCGCAGGACCACGCGTTAATCCAGAATAGACCTCAGGATGAATCCTCCCTGACGGTCGCGAACAAACCGGCATCAAACTTAAAAACAAATCCTTTTTTAAAAGTGCCGGTGACAGCGTCGCAAAAAGTTCAAAAACCACCGGTCAAATCCCAAGAGGAACAGCGTAACAACCGCGAAAAAAAAGTCTTCGCGACCTTGACCCACATCATCGTCGGTTATCTAGTCTGCTGGGTGCCATTCCATTTAGTCTTCGACATCTCGTCCTTCGGCGACCAGATCGTCCCGGATTTCGCCTACAAATTCGCCTTTTGGCTGACCTACTTCAACTCCACCCTCAATCCTTTTCTCTACAACTTCAGCAGCCCCGAGTTTCGCAAAGCTTTCAAGGCGGTCGTCACGAGAAAAAGAACTCGCGCTTCTAAAGCAAGTCTGGCCAATCACGCTTCGCCAAGTGTATGACGACGCTACGTAGACAAACACATTCAAACTTTGCATTATATTCTAGATTTTTATTTAATCTTCTTAATTGTAATATCGAAGGTGCATTCCTCCAACAAAATTAAGTATTATGCTCCGTTGACTACTAATCCAGCCTGATTTTCCTTCAGTGTTTGCTTCCATAGCCTTTGTCCTCAAAGAAAAATCTGCGCTGCAGCAGTTGTTTGATTTTGCAGTTGTCTCTCCTTGATGGGTTGTTGTCGGGAGTGGGCTGGCCGCCGGGACACCGGGGGGGGGGGGGAATCGCTGTGGGCCTCCAGGATCGGTGTTATATTACGTTTGAAATGCGTTATATTCAGATGCGTAGTGACCCTTCCCGGCGCCCGGGGACAAACTTTTCGATTTGCACCCCCCCCCCCCCCCTCGAGATTTCGATTTGTTTGCAACCCCCCTCAAACTTTCGATTTGCACCCCCCCCCCCCTCGAGATTTCGATTTGCACCCCACCCCCCCCCCCCCTCGAGATTTCGATTTGCACCCCCCCCCCCCTCAATCTTTCGATTTGCACCCCCCTCGATCTTTCAATTTATTTTTCCAACCCATTTTGGCACCCCCTAAAGTCGGCGCCCGGGGACATATGTACCACTCCCCCCCCCGCCCCCTCCCTCGCTACGCAACTGGTTATATTTAATTAACGCTACATATGAGTGGTTTTGTTATTTTTTTATATAGCAAATTGTTAAGTGACCAACGACTATGGATAGGCATCGGACCCCAGTCTTTGATGAAAAAATATGCACTGTGAATAATTTAGTCGGCAGGGACCGATTTTATTTATTTCCCAGGCCGCTTGGACACAGTCAGTCTACGCCTATCTAACGAGCCTCATCTGTCCGGGTCTGATTTGTTTATGTTGACAGATGATCGAAATAGTATGCACTGAATAGCCGTTGATTGATTTAACATGTTATTGTTAATGTCTGTAGAACGTAAGTTTTTTTTTTAAAATATATATAAAGATCGACAACTCTCCTATCAAAGAGAAGCTATAAATATTTGTGTAGATGTATTTGTTTTCTCCCTTTACGGGTTGAATTAGTAACTTTAGGTGTTAGGAATAGATTTAAATTTTTCATCCTATTTCACAAAATCACAACACCCAAGTGTTTTCCAAAAATTCGTTTTTAATTGGGGAAAAAATCGAAGAATGAACGGAAAAGTTGTCACTACAAAATAATCATCAAAAATCAAGTGCTCAATAAAAGTGCATTATATGAAAGCGGTGGTGTTGATAGAGAAAGTACGTATTTAGTTTGTTAGTGGAGAATTGGCCTGGATCAAGACAGATAACTCAAGTCAGAGAATAAACGGAGATGACTTCCTTAAACTTAAAGCCAGACGTAGTCCTCTTGGTCATAAGTATAAGGGGATCTTGTCAACACACCCCCCTCCCTCGCAAGTGTTAACTATTATTGTGAAGAAGTATTATTGTAATTAAATCAACACGATGGAATGTAAACATGGGGAATTTTCTCGAATTCTGAAAAACATTTTTTTTAAAATATTATCCGACTAATTTAATGCTAAATAGGTGTCTAAATTTCAAATATGTTTTTTGTGCCATAAACGGATTACCCCTAATATATTGACAATCATATGGGGCTCTTTATGTGACAAAAACTGCCTGTTACATTATAGTTGCAGCATATGAAACATTCATTGCAATTTTTACTGTTTGTATTTTTTTTTAATTAAGCGCGTATAAAAAGAGAAAGGGGAAGTAACACATGATTCTTAAGACTTCAGAACATTATACCAGTTATTTTTCTTAGTATTTACATAAATGTTTTTAAATAAAATTCAGACCAATAACGTAGATTGATTATTTATTAATTTTTTTTTTTAAACTAGTTTAATATGTTTGTTATATAAAATTTGACATATTGTAAATAGCTAAGCTTTTCTTTCTAAAAAGTAATTACTCGAGCAAATCAAACCCAATATAGTAATATAGATTCTATATCTATAATATAAGCGGGCTGTGCTTGTCCTTCCTTCCTTCTGTCCGTCCGTCCGTCCGTCATCGCTATAGATTTTGGGACTATAAAAGTAAACTACGCACCATGCTGTGCTTTTCAGTGCACCGCAGTGTCTTATTATAAGTGTTAGAGTAGGGTTTGTTTATATAGCGGCATAGAGCTATTTTATAAATGACACTGTGTTTACTTTTTTGCATAACGTTATGAAAATATTAAATATTCGCACATTGCTAAAACATATTAAAAAGATCAATGTCAAATATCATTTTAGTTTATATTCCTAGAAAAAATGGATACATTTCCATAAAAGTAGGTCGAAAAAACTAATTAATTCAACTTTTTTTTGTGGTAATTTTTTTCAAGGGAGGTAATTTGAAAATATATTTATCTCAACAATAATTTAAGCTAATCTTTTTTTGTATTACTACCGCATTGATTAGTATATGTTAATGTTCATAATTAAAAGAGAAAAATGTTAAGATTATTTATATTATTTATTTTTTTTCTAATTAGTCTATGATTTCTCTAAAATCACTATATTTTTGCTTTTGTTTTTCGGTGTTATGAAAACAGATGGTGAAATTAGACTTTTTGAGAATAATGGAAAGGCTCTCTCTGTGCGCGGACGTATGGGAAAATGTTTTTTTTTTTAAATATTCAACTCACTCTCAATAAATTAAGTTAATTTTTTTTATTACTTCCACATTGATTATTATATGTTAAGTAAAATAGAAAAAATGTTAAGATTATTTACATTATTTTCTAATTAGACTATGATCTCTCAAAATCACTATTTTTTTGTTTTTGTTTTTCGGTGTTAACAGATGGTGAAAATTTAGAATTATAGTATAGAGAATGCTGGAAAGGCTCTCTCTGGGCGCGGATGCCTAAGAAAAGCGTGTTGTTCGTTGGTGATTCTATTGTTGTGGTTGTGTTGTGGTTGTGTTGTGTTGTGGTTGTGTTGTGGTTGTGTTGTGGTTGTGGTTGTGGTTGTGTTGTGGATGTGTTGTGGTTGTGTTGTGTTGTGGTTGTATTGTGGTTGTGTTGTGGTTGTGTTGTGTTGTGGTTGTGTTGTGGTTGTGTTGTGTTGTGGTTATGTTGTGGTTGTGTTGTGGTTGTGTTGTGGTTGTGTTTGTGGTTGTGTTGTGGTTATGTTGTGGTTGTGTTGTGTTGTGGTTATGTTGTGGTTGTGTTGTGGTTGTGTTTGTGGTTGTGTTGTGTTGTGGTTATGTTGTGGTTGTGTTGTCGTTGTGGTTGTGGTTGTGTTGTGGTTGTGGTTGTGGTTGTGGTTGTGTTGTGTTGTGATTGTGTTTTGTTTGTGTTTGTGTTATGTTTTTGTTTGTTTTGTTGTGTTGTGTTGTGGTTGTGTTGTGTTGTGGTTGTGTTTTGTTTGTGTTTGTGTTATATTTTTGTTTGTTTTGTTCTGTTCCAAAGTTGGTACATTTAAAAAAGATTTACCGTGGCGGAGCACGGGATGCAGCTAGTCTATAATATAATCGGGCTGAGCGTGTCCTTCCGTCCGTCATCGCTATGGATTTTGGGACTATAAAAGTAAGCTACGCACCATGCTGTGCTTTTCAGTGCACCGCAGTGTCTTATTATAAGTATTAGAGTAGGGTTTGTTTATATAGCGGCATAGAGCTATTTTATAATTTCCACTGTTTGTACAATTTTGCATAACGTAAAGAGAATATTAAATACACGCACATTGCTAAAACATATTAAAAGGATCAATGTCAAATATTGTTTTCTTTTTTATGCCTGAGAAAGGTGGAAACATTTTAATAATGTAATAACAGTAGGCTAGAAAAATCAAATTAATTTAACTCTTTTTTCTAATTTTGACAAGGGAGGTAATTCAAAAATAAATTTAACTCACGCTAATAAAAAAAATGTGAATGCAAATGTACGGACGTACTAGAAGGAATTAGTGTTGCAATAATATAATTAGCAAAATGTGAATGCAAATTGTGCGGATGCGGATTGTTAGAAAATTATAATTAGCATGGATTGATAAAAGGCAATCTTTTATTTATTTCATTCACTGAATTTACTGTTTACTATTTATAATTTTTAATCGACTATTCCGCAATATTATAGGCGCGTCATCACCTTCATTGGGTGGATGGTGCGCAATGGTTTTAGTTATGAAACTCTATTGTAAATTTTTAAAATTTAAAGTACTGGGGGAAAAAATGCGTGAATGGATAAAGTGAAATATTTAGGTGAAACACGGATATTTTAAATACTGCCTATTATTTATACTGTTTACTAATTATTATTCTATCTTTCGGTTTGAGGACAAGTTAGGGGTTTTATAGGAGAGGCGTAGCGAGGGGAGGGCATATGTCCCCGGGTGCCGACCTTAGGGGGCGCCAAAGTGGGTTGGAAAAAATGTGCGAGGGGGGGTGGGGGTGGAAATCGAAAGTTTTAGGGAGGGGGGGGAAGGAGTGCAAATCGAAAGTTTGAGGGGGATGCAAATCACCGGAAAGGGCGCGATTTGGCGCTACGGGCTAGACTGTGAGCAATATGCCTGTATGAATGCATTTAAATTGTGTCTATGTTATGAGTGTTGTGTTTGTTTGTTCGTTTTTTTTTTTTTTTTTTTTTTTTTTTTGCGTTCGTTTGTGTTGTGTTTAGTTTTGTTCTGTTCCCAAGTTGGTACATTTTAAAAAGATTTACCGTGGCGGAGCACGGGATGCAGCTAGTTCACTATAGGCCTACTCGATCGTTTATGACGAATATGTCTTTACTAACGAGTGATTATCCTAGTTGAAGCTCTACTTCTTGCTAAATCTACAAACAAAGTATGGAAATAATTCTCATTCTCGTGAATTTTTTGGTAGGCCTAGGTATAACGCTAGCTTTGTAGCGGTGACCTTCCGTTACAAACACGTTATAACCAGTTCGCCATTTTATTTAAAGATTCGAATGTTTTCCAGTCGCTGCGCATTTGTAGGTCATGACCTACAAATAGGTCATTTGTGAAATTCTAAAAAATATTATAACTTATACATTTTCAACGTAAGGGCTAGTCATTCATAGCTTTACAGTTCCGAATAGACTTATGTCGTTTAACTCGTACTTAAATCAATGCAGACAAAATTAAAAATCGTGTTTTTTACATTTCAGCAGTGAGCGGCATTTTGGACCACAAAGACCCGGCTAGCCTCTTTCTGACCTCAAAAAGGCTAAAAATAAAATAGGATGGG